AAAAAAGAAGAAGAAAACAGAAATGCAACGTTGTGCGATCTATTCAAGGTATGCAACAAACAACGGAACGAAATTACGACACAAGAACGAACGCTCATTTTTCAAGTACCCTTTCTAAATTTACATTTCCGCATCATTGTTATATCTTTCCAAATCAGCTCGAGAATCAAGAAAAGCTTAGTATTGCTTCAATGGAATTTTAAGAAGAGCTTCGAACCCAAATTCCTCATCGTGATTCAACTTAAAAACGATTTCGGTGTTTCCAGTTTCACGAATCAATATAAGGTAGATACACGATTACCTTACATTTTTTTTCAGGGACGTTTATCGAGCGTCGTTTTCATCTTTACGTATTTTAATTTTGTAAATATACATGCGCGTATATGTGCGTACGTGTATCTGTGTATGTACCGATGTTTACAGTGTACGAGTGTGAACGTGTACGTCTATACTTCTTTTTCTCAATCTTACCTAAACGTTTCACGAATGTATAAATCCTTTATTTATATATCAAAAGCACCGTTCACGTTCCATCAAGGATACACGAATCTCGGTCGTGTCGAGATTAGAAGAACGAAGCTGCGTTTCAAAAACGAACGAATCAACGAAAACATGCGGAAGAAATGAAAGAACAGAGAACGTGTGTCGATGAATGCGCAACACGAATTAAGTTAACCGGTCCCGGTTGCTTTCCGTTATTTAAATTAGTGAAAACATATCCATTCGTAGAATATTTTATATCCTCGCTGATCGGCCCGCGGGCGACTTACACGCTAAAAGTAGGTTTACCGGGATTTTCCCCCGACTGTACAAGTGTTCTTTATAAATAATTCTTATAAATTAGAATTAGTCTACGGTTTTCAGTTTGACATTAAAAATCGTACAATTTACATAATATTCTCTTAACGGTAATCCACCATTAATACTGCGTGTCCCACTCCTGTTCCCATCGCCGCCCATCGTCTGCGGGTGTGACAAAATCCACCCCGTTACGTGTACTCGTAAAAGTCTTCAGCCAATCGTTCTGTGACAAGTTTGGTCGGTGGCCTTGCATGGTTTCACGTGTTTTTCGCTTCCTTTTCTTGTTCTCTCAAATGAATCCGATCGAACAGACAGCAGACGATTTCAATGATTAAGTTAACTTAACGCTCTAATAGAGGGGTAAGTTTCAGCTGCCTTGGTAAGGCATTTGATCCGGAACGGCGGACGAATGATTCTGATTCGGACTCTGATGGAAATGTGGACTGCTCCCGTCTTGCGATAGATCACCGACTGCTGGTTCTTCGTATTTCCCCCTCTTGAAACGACCGTACAACGACGAATAGGGTAGATTATAGTGAATGGCTGCCTGATTGATACTCATATGACCCAATCTAAAACACGGAAACGAAATGTGTTCTTCATTGGTCTACAAAATCTATGCGTATTTTGAATATTTCCATGGCCTGGTCATTGAACTTTGGCGCAACCAATCTATACGCAAATTCACATTACGTGGTCAACTATCGAGAATCCGAAGAAAATAGAAATTCTCTTCTTTCATAAATGATTTGAACAAATTGAAGAAACTGGGAAATAGTTTAGCGATCATAAATCATTCAGTTGTTTTGCTACTACGTCTTAATTCAGCTCTTAACGTCTTTTCATGTTAAAAAAAGATAACAGTGCTATGAAAGCATCTCAAACACTTTAGGTTATTCACAATCGATTCTCTCTCATTGCTTTTGTATCATTTTCATTCAAGCAGTTTCATTAATATCAAACATATGGAAAATTGGAGTATCGCGCAAGGAAACATTTTACCTGACAGCTTCGAGGGCTTCGGTCATAGCATCCTCGCTCCATGGCGTAGGATTACTCCTGCTCAATTCGATTCCTTCCCTCTTACATCTACCGTACAAGGTTCCTGTCGGTATACCGAATTCAGTGGATGCTCTCTGCACGGACGTCTGACCGGACCTGATAGCTTCCAAAGCTCGATCCAGGTCGGCGGGCGACCAAGTGGTAGGACTGGCGTTGAAAGGCGCAGCTAATCTAATACCTTCTCTCCTCGCGATTTTGTACAACGTGCTGGAAGGTATGCCGAACGCTTTCGAAGCCTTGTTCGCCGAGATCGTGCCAGTTCTTAGCGCTTCAAGGGCGTTGTTCAGACTCTCGTCGCTCCACGACTTTGTTGGTCCATCCTTTTTTGGCGTGTCTATGCCCAACCGATGCGCTCTTTGCCATAACGTCGTCGACGGTATGCCGAAGGTTGCTGAAACGATTGAAACAAGAGTTATTCAAATGTAACGTATGTATTATTCAGATGCATACGTATGTATTAGGTCATCGAGAAAGTTCGCGACGTTTCCTGCGTAATGCTTCTATTATTTTTTTTCCGAGAAACAAAATATCGTTTCTCTTGGCGAACATGCAATCTTTTTAGAAACATCTTACATGAAACTTTCGAAGAAAAAGTCAAAAACTGTGATGACCAGTTACATAGGTATCAGTTGTTGATCAATTACCGGAGGCTTTTGTCAGACTCATGTCGTGGTTCCTTAATGCTTCCAATGCGGCATCCATGTCTTCCTGAGTCCATGATTTCGAACCGTGATGATGGGAGCTCGACTGTCCGGAATGGCCCCTCGAATTGTTCTCGCCGGAATCCGAGTGAACCGAACTTCCAGAGGGCATTAAACCGAGCAGCTCCGGCGTGATCATCATCATGTTGTCGCTATCCGCTGCGTTCTTCGAACTGACGCTCGCCCGATCCGACATGTGACTATCGATGTCGATCGTGTCCGACGAGTCCATCGTGTGCAACGTTTCGAACTTTATCTTCACACTGTCACAATTCTGAATCTCTGCAAGCACAAACGATTGACGCTTTCAGTTCCATTTAGACCGCGAATGATCGAAGACGATCGTGGTTCCGTTCGTTCACTGACCACCTGAATTTCGCAAAAGAAGCAGCGACGAAGGCAAAGCTAGATGCGTGCACTAAATGAGGTTGCGTGGGCTGTTACGAACCGAGCAACGCAAATCTAATCGCGACTAGTTAAGCCTGATTAGACCAATTATTTTGATTCCCTCCCCATCTAACGAATGGCTGTGCTTTTACTTCCCCTAACGATTCACCACCGTCATGATTGAACGTGTAATACTACCCCTAGCAAACGGTACTTGGCCAGAAATTAATATTGCATCTTTCGAATTAGCTTTCCTATACGCTAAAACCGGACAATACGATGATCCTATTTATTATATACATATTTATATATATTACTTAAAATAAAGATATGTAATTGTCAACGAATAAAACGCATTCATAGTACATCTGCTCAGGGTAGCATTAAATGAGCGCTGATAATTGCAATTATCAATTAAGTTCGGAAAGATATTGCACCTGTAGAATGATGATCCGGATCTCTTAAGTGGGTGATGGTAGTGCCAACTAATGTGGCACTGGGTGGTGTGGGTTGGGTCTCTGGGGGCAGGTCGACTTCCCCAGGATCCGGATGGTGTCCATAGTGTCCGAGCCCTGTATGACAAAACATGTCACCTTTTAATTACAAGTGAAAAGAGTCTGTCCCGTTGTTTCTTGGGGTGGAGAATCGCCCCACACCTTGAAACCACCGCACACACTCGGTTAAGCAAGAAAAGAAATTCCTTTTATCATCCTCCAGCTATGTTATAAAATAAATTCAGATTCCATTCGGAATAAAAGATTTTCACGAGTACATAAATATTCAAACATAAGAGAGACCTGTTTTAGTTTCTAATTTTCAATTTATACGGCTCATAAATATAATGAAAACATAGATAGAAATCTGTTTAACACATCGGCTGATGATTCTTTAGCCTGTATATCAACTACGCGAGGGTTCAGGTGTGGGGCGTAAGTCCCAACACACCTACTTACCGTTGTTATTGTTGTTTGTACCGTTACCGCTGTTGTTATTATTATTGTTGTTGTTGTTATTGTTATTGTTGTTATTATTGGTCCGCTGGCACGTTTCCAAAACTACTGTTGCTGTTGTACCCTCCGTGCAATCTTCATCTTCGGCCTGCCAGTCTCTGTGATTCTGCGGAATATCCGGTACGAATTTAGCGACGACCGTGACGAGATGGTAGTTCGTTGGACGGCTGTCACGTTCTCATGCTCTTCCCTTTGCATCCCGTTCCCACCCCCGCCCGCCCACCCCCCGCGGTCCCGCTTTTTTTCTCTCCCTCGTAAACAGCCGTCACAACCGTACACTGTAATAAAACTTACCTCTTTGTTCTCTGGATTGTAATTCTCGTTCGATTCCTCCTCTTTATACCTGTCGTAGTGCCTCGAGTCCGTCGCACGAGGCTCGAACGTGGTTCTTGCTCGTTTGTACCGTGGATGGTGTCTCTTTAGCTTGCTGAAGTTTATCCTGGGTGTGCCAGGTTCACGTGGCGGCGAGCTCAAGCTTACCGATGGCGGACCGTCCCTGCTCTCCGGCACCTCGCAGAGACCCTTGATTTTCAGCTGATCGGCCGTTTTCAACAATGACTGTAACAAAATCATCGATGCTCCATAAACTTCCCTTCTTCGACAACATACACTCCTCTAAAGAAAACTTTATGGGTGATTATTCGATATGGTGTATCCTGTTCCGTAATGTTCGCATACGATCGTTCACCACTAATTAAGGAAATGGTAAGTGGGATACTCATTCGAATACTTTATCCATTACAGAACTGATAACTTCAGGAGACCTAAAACGCGGTACAAATGTTCTACCAACGTTCAATGCGCAGTGTCGAGTCGTATGTTTCATACTAGGATGAATTTATATAAGCATTTTCGATAAATCTGAATGAGGGACATTGACATAAAAGTGGATGACACTTATATAGAAAATTCTGCGTGACATGTGGCATGTTGATAGAACGTTCCTTACTACGGAAACCCAGGTTTATGATCCCCAACCGGGTCCGCTATGAAACACATAACGAGGATGGTCTACATTTCTGTTCTCGGAATCCAGGTTCGGCGGATGCCCGTCTCTTTATGCGCGACTACCTTGTCGCGTAACGGGGAGCAGCGTCCGGGCTTGTATCGAGGGAGAGCGTGTAACGAGAGAGACAAAGAGGAAACGTCGCATCAAAATATTTCCGGAAATTGCTACGATTCAATGGCGCGAAGCGCGAACGGACGGGCCAGCGCTTGTGCAAGGCCAAATATGGGATAACCCATTTCGGTAAACCGCTTTCTGAGAGGAATAAAGAAGAAGAAGGGACCGGGAGAAGAGCCGGTCGGTGGCCAGAGGCCGGGCAGATTTGCATATTCCCGGTAAAACCTCATCCTTGCGCTCCGTTCCCGGCATGGATACAGTTTCATCTCGCAGGCGGCCGTCTGGCCGTGGCGGCTCGGTCTAAAATCAGTTTCCACGATCCAGTTTCGGCCGTACAGCGATTCATCGCCGGTAAGTGCGTCGACCCGCGTCGGAGCCGCACAGCGATGTCGTCCGCCCTGCGTTTACCGACATTCATCCCGGCCCTATCCCCACCCACACCCTCTTTCGGTGATCTTAACCTTGAAACCGGTGCACGAGGGAAACACACACCGGCCGTTAAGAAGAAGAAGACGAAGAAGCGGAGGAAAAGGAGCGCGGGAGGAAAACCAAAGAACGCGGCGAAGAGAAGAAAGAGGAAGACCGGAAGGAGAACGGCGCTCGGGACGGGGATTGAAGTCGACGTCTTTTTTCAAGACGTCGACTTCCGCGTGACGCGGGACGCGAGAAGAAATTTTCGGGACGCGCGACCACGTGGCGACAAAGGATCCTTCCTGCTTCCGGAAACAGTTTTGACGTACGAACGCACCCCGGCGAGGAAGACGCGAGCCAGTCACCGAAGTAACGCAAACAATCTTCGGCAAGAAAACAACGGAAACAGAAGCAGGGAGCGGCGGGGGAGAAAGAGAGACAGAGAAAAGGAGAGAA